CCTACTTATTCGAGTCTTCTTTTTTGTCGCTACTCCCGAATAATCTGGTCCTCGTGCATACGTTTTACGCACCTATTTCTCCCCTCGTTCCTTCAATCCTCACCATCACTCTTCTTCACTCTTTCTTTCTAACAATCTTCCTCTTTTTCCCTTCAACAACGTCTTCCCTGGCTGCTGTCACCAAATGTTTCTACTCAATTTCCGAATCTCCTTATCTTTCCTATGTCTCCATCACTCTCCTCCTAGTATATCCTTAAAAACTAAGTTGTTAAAAAGTCCTTTGGAAAAATAAAAGTCCAAAGTGGTAGCGCATGTAACATACCACATGTATATTATATTGCAGTGATATATGTAGTATGTGTCTAATGGTACTGTTATTGTTAATCTTTTGCAAGCCATATACTGTATACGTATACTGTATCATTAATGCAATTGTCGAATAAATTATCTTGTAACACTTATACACTTTTCGAATCTCCTATTCCTTTCTATATCTCCATCACTCTCCTCCTAATATATCCCTAAAAATTAAGTTGTTAAAAAGTCCTTTGAAAAAATAAAAGTCCAAAGTGGTAACGCATGTAACATACCACATGTATATTATATTGCAGTGATATATGTAGTATGTGTCTAATGGTACTGTTATTGTTAATCTTTTGCAAGCCATATACTGTATACGTATACTGTATCATTAATGCAATTGTCGAATAAATTATCTTGTAACACTTATACACTTTTCGAATCTCCTATTCCTTTCTATATCTCCATCACTCTCCTCCTAATATATCCCTAAAAATTAAGTTGTTAAAAAGTCCTTTGAAAAAATAAAAGTCCAAAGTGGTAACGCATGTAACATACCACATGTATATTATATTGCAGTGATATATGTAATATATCTCTAATAGTATTGTTATTGCTAATCTTTTGTAAACCATATATGTATGTATACCATATATCTGTAAACCATATTTGTAAACCATATATCTGTACTTCGTATACTGTATTATTATTGCATTTGTTGAATAAATTATCTTTAAACACTTATGATCGTTGATATTCTTTTGCCCTATGCGAATATCCCAGAGTACGAATGAGTTCTGTCTCTTTCTTACACTTCTCCGTCCTAACAGCATCCTTTTCCTTCTCCTCCAACCTTATGCTTCTACACCTCTTTTCGGCAATGCTCTATTTTCTCTGTCATTACTTTCATTACATCAGCAAGTTGCAAAAAGTAAAGGGATTTTTTGAAAGTGCCCTATTGCAATTTGATCTGTACCAGTCTCTTCCGAGATACAGCTGATTTTCGAATTATTTTCGGAATTATTTTATCGAGAAAGTTCACTCGTTCTCTCAGAGATGGCGCCACATATCATGCCCAGGAGGTGCTGCCCTCTTATCGGCGAAAATTCGAACTAATGCGAAATCTTTAATAAGATTTACTCATTGAAATTTCGACGATAGGATTTTTAAATTGAATTCGGAATTATTTTAACTAAGAAAGTTCACCCGTTCTCTCAGAGATGGCGCCACATATCATGCCCAGGAGGTGCTGCCCTCTTATCGGCGAAAATTCGAACTAATGCGAAATCTTTAATAAGATTTACTCATTGAAATTTCGACGATAGGATTTTTAAATTGAATTCGGAATTATTTTAACTAAGAAAGTTCACCCGTTCTCTCAGAGATGGCGCCACATATCATGCCCAGGAGGTGCTGCCCTCTTATCGGCAATAATTCGAACTAATGCAAATTCTTTAATAAGAATTTAACCATTGAAATTTCGTCTAAGTGATTTTCAAATTGTATTCGGAATTATTTTATCGAGAAAGTTCACTCGTTCTCTCAGAGATGGCGCCACATATCATGCCCAGGAGGTGCTGCCCTCTTATCGGCGAAAATTCGAACTAATGCGAAATCTTTAATAAGATTTACTCATTGAAATTTCGACGATAGGATTTTTAAATTGAATTCGGAATTATTTTAACTAAGAAAGTTCACCCGTTCTCTCAGAGATGGCGCCACATATCATGCCCAGGAGGTGCTGCCCTCTTATCGGCGAAAATTCGAACTAATGCGAAATCTTTAATAAGATTTACTCATTGTCCCTTATCGGCGAAAATTCGAACTAATGCAAATTCTTTAATATGAATGCTTGGTAATTTCAAAATTAAAAAAAAAGTGTGCGAGTACCAAAAAGTAAAGGAATTTTTTGAAAGTGGCCCTATCGCAATCTAACCTGTACCAGCTTCTTCTATGGACAAATTTCAAGGAAAAAGTCCTAAACCCAGCCGTTTTCGAGATACAGCCTCCCAGAGGTGCAATTTCGAGAATTGAATTTCAAACTATATTAGAAGTAGGTGAAGGATGCAGTTAGGACGGAGGAGAGTAAGAGAGAGACAGAACTCATTCGTACTCTGGGATATTCGCATAGGGCAAAATAATATCAACGTGTATAAGTGTTACAAGATAATTTATTCAACAAATGCAATAATGATACAGTATACAAAGTACAGATGTACATATATGTATAGTCCATGAAAGATTAGTAATATCAATACCATTAGAAATATATTCAAATATATCACTACAATATAATATACGTGTGTTATGTTACATGCGCTACCACTTTAAATTTTTCTTTTTCCAAAAGACATTTTAAAAATTTAGTTTCTAAGGATATACTAGGAGGAGAGTGATGGAGACATAGAAAGGAATAGGAGATTCGAAAATTGAGTAGAAACATTTGGTGGCAGCAGACAGGGAAGATGTTGTTGAAGGGGACATATTATGAGGAGAGTGATGGAGATATAGGAAGGAATAGGAGATTCGAAAAGTGTATAAGTGTTACAAGATAATTTATTCGACAAATGCAATAATGATACAGTATACGTGTACAGTATATGGCTTGCGAAAGATTAACAAAACAGCACCATTAGACACATACTACATATATCACTGCAATATGACACACGTGTGGTATGTTACATGCGCTACCACTTTGGACTTTTATTTTTCTAAAGGACTTTTTAACAACTTAGTTTTTAAAGATATACTAGGAGGAGAGTGATGGAGACATAGGAAAGAATAGGAGATTCGGAAATTGAGTAGAAACATTTGGTGACAGCAGCCAGGGAAGATGTTGTTGAAGGGAAAAATATGAAGATTGTTAAAAAGAAAGAGTGAGAAGCAGTGATGGCAAGGATTGAAGGAACAAAGAGAGAAGAAAATATGTAAACCGTGTGCACGAGAACCAGATTATTCGGGAGGAACGAGAAAAGAGAACAGTGGGAAAAGTAGGAAGTATAAGGGAGTGAAATGGGCCCCTCCCGGCCATTTCCGTGAGGTCCTGCCTCTCCACAAGGAAGCTACGACCCCTCCGAGGCCCCATAAGGGACCGTGTTTGTTTTTTTATTGAGGAAGTCGGGTCGAGGGACAAGAAAAACGCGCAAGGGCGTAAGGTGAAGTTAAACGCGAAAAGAGTAAGATAAGTTAAACGCGAAAGGTCTACCCCTAGTGAAGGATTCACCGCAACGAAAGACCACAGGCGTAGCACCCGACGGCGCCCTTGTGAACAACGCCAGGACGTCCCGAGGGACGATATTCAGCGCTGCAACCACCGTCCCTTCCCACTGAGCAAGTTCAGCGGCTGAGGGGAAAGGGCAACCCCTGACACCATGGTCTATACGTGTAGTTACTCCAACAAGGTGACTACCGTTATATGACTAGTCGAATGAATATGCTCGACCAGACCAAAGGAATAGGACAAGTAAGACAAACACAATGGAAAGTGAGAGAGAACAGAGTGAAACGAGAAGACAGAAGGGAGGACAAAAATAAAGAAGTTAAGAGGTGGAAAAGTAAGGAGGGGTATAAAAGTAGAGAATAAATAAGGAAAGAGATAAATGAGAAAGTAAAGAATGAAATATAAAGAAATATGGAAGTAAAGAAGAAATAAATATAAAAATAGAAGATTGGAAATTGGATATGAGGAATGCTTCCAAAAGATCAGTAGAGTACCGATCTCCGAGTACCCCCTCCCCCCCCAACTGAGTCCTGCGCGGCAAGCGCGCGCTGACAAATTTTGTCATTTGACGCACTTCTAAGTGTTCCACGTCGTGATTTTTCATTTCTATGTATCAATATATAAATTTAGTAAATTATTTATTCTATTATTTCAATAATTGAGTTTTTCAGTTCTCCTCTAATTGGATTGATCTCAAGTACCGCCAAGAGCATCGATTTTCAGGTGATGTTTAGGATGACAGTGTTTAATGTTATTACTGTCTAAATTAATGAATTTATCGCTTATAATTTTTATTTTATTTGTGTTTATTAACAAGGCTTACAATCTAAAGATATACAGAACTACTGTATAGAACGGTACAGTGAAACCGACCAACAGAGTGACGTGATGACTGAAGTTTCATTACTTCGAGGAAGTAAATTTGGAAAGTCCTTCTAGTAAGCTAATGTATGCTGAGTGCTCGTAACTTGTACTCAATTCGATAAGCTTCTCACCAAATTCATTAGAGATTCCCTTCTCTTCCAGATAATTCATCAGCAAATCGTATAGATACTGTAATAAAGAAGTAATAATAAGTTTTAGATTAAAGGAGTGTTTGCCAAGGAATATGTAAATCAGTTGAAGTATAAAAATAACTGGTACAATATACTTACTGCATCTACAACTTCTCCAGCAACGGCGTATACTTTATCAGAGTGTTCACCTTCATACAAGGTAATTTCATCGATACCAAAGATATCATCTGTAAGTGAAGCCATTATGATTTAAATGTAGTTTATTATTGTTATGATTTATATGTTGATTAAGCACAAAAAGAAAAACTTACTGTAATTATCATCAGCACCAGATGCTCCTGGCTCATTATTAAAAGAACATGTGAATCCTAAAGTCTGCTTTCCCCTAATAATATCTACTTCGAAATTTGGTTTACTCTTCATGTCTCCAATATCTGGTTTATCATCATTTGGATCAATCTCTGGCTCTGCATCAGTGTCAACAGTATGGTTGACGTTGAAGTTAATTTTAATACTATAACAAGTTACATTATATGTAAATATCACAAAAGTTTTTAAACAACAAATTGTTGCGTTTCTATAATCATGCTTACTACAAAAATAAGCAACAATAATAGAAACGCTTTACTTTTCCAAAGATAAATTACCAAGGTAATGATTATCTATTACCTTGTACTCAATGCTTTGGACGTCACAACTAAAGAGTAATGTTCTTGTTCAAAACAATGGGACACATTTTTTCAAATAATACAATTTATGACTTTGCATAAAAACACTGGAAAAGCATAAAAAGGTCTATTCAAATATAGAATACGCAATACTAACGTTTCACCATCCTGCTGCTTGGTCAGAGTAACTTCAGCTCCGTCCAAGGAAACTTTAAATCCATCGACTTCAGTGGGGATAGTCCTAAGTTTTTGAGCTTTTTTCTCTGCAACGATTTCCTCAGCAAGGAATTCGACTAAGTCCTTCTCAGCTAAATAGGAATACATACAAGAATTAAAAACTTTATATTACACATGGCATGTAAAGGAATGGCTTCGAGATGCCGAGTAACCATTACACAAAAAACCATTTTAAAAATTCTATCCCGTTACCTCACGATACAAAATATAAATATAAAATGTATACCTTTGGTATGAGCACCGCGTGAACCACAGCCACAACTACAAAGTTCTGAGGGTGCCTGAATTTTCACGCTTGTAAGAGGTGCGGCTTCAGTGGGATGCCGGTTGCACATGTTCCAAAGAGTACGGGTGAATTGTCTTTTAGCTGTGCCTACAGCATTTGTCGGCGACACGATACTCTTTAGGGCGGATACTCGCAATGCGTTCCTCACGATTCCGTTCATTTTTCAAGAGATGAATTACGTTTTTGTAGACAATTTAATAGAAACCTACGGACACAGCGTAACCCCCAAATGAGCTTTTTTTTACCACTGTATAAAAGAAATGGTTGCGTCACTAATATGGCCGACTTTATTCCGTTTAAAACGCTCTCTATACTCTTACATGCGCACTATATCGATTTCCGGAAAGAGAATATTTCAAATGGATTTAGATTTATCTGTATTATAAGGAATAAATACATTTAAAGTAAAAACATAAATTTGAGCTTAGCAGTACATGGAACTATGGTTTCCTATGTAGCTTGTGAAATCTTAAAAGTTGTTTAGTAATGTGAATGACGAAAAACGTGATACGTCACTCTGCTTAATGTTACCTTTAGCTCAGTATTTTATTGAATGAAGGGTACGAGGTTTGTAATTGATTTATATCAAAATTTATAAAATTAAATAATGCTTAAAGGATTTTATGCCGTCTCTTAGCTGTATCTTTATATCGCTAAAACCACCATACGTGATAGTAGTCTCAGTCGGACTATATGCTACAACAGTATCTATGTATACATATGTAAAGGAACATAATTATTCACGGCACCTTTAGTTGAAATCATGAACTAACAATTTTAGCTAGTACGTAGTACCACATTTAATCAAGAGTAAGCGCTGTTAGTATAAATCCCCGTTAAAAAATAATCTCTAGATATAAAACCAGTGATTTACGAAGAAGCGATCATAATCACAGTTCTAAGAAAGTGGTAATATCACGGGAATTTTTCTGTAATAACATGTATCGACATAAGCCATGATACGGTGTACTGTAGCGTCGTTCTATTATTTTACGGTTTCATAGAGAAAGCTCCAACATATATAGTTAGCGAATAGTGAATCTAACGCATAACTCAGTGTACAGTTTTGTTATCATTTATGTTTATTTAATGTTCTAGTTAGGAGTACAATTTTAAAATAATTTTTGTGATTTCTGGATCAGCTTATTCGTTTCAATATGACGGATCTGAAAACGACAGTACCACTTGTTGCACTTTCTGAACAAACTAAAGATCTCATTTCTACTTTACTCAACCCAAGAAAGTTTCTACCGTGCGATGATGGTCTGCCAAGGTAAACATGTGTTTTAAGTATAATCGACTATTAATTCCGTACGTGAAGTGTTACCACTCTTTTTTAGAACAGGATGTAGTTAAAATCCTTGTTAACAGAATGCTTAATTGTAGAAAAATTCATTAATTGTGTGTGACTAATTTTTAGAATTTAGATGTTAGTACCAGAGTATATATGTATATCATTTCCATATGATTCTAGGGACTGGAGGGGTCTTGCACACTTATTAGGAATTGGAGGTGAAGAGATACCTGCAATTGCGTCAAAACCAGATCCATGTTCTCATATCTTGACGATTATGCAAGGGAAAAAAAAAGATTGGAAAATCAAAGATTTGCAGATGATATTGGAAAGGCTGGATAGGTGGGATATTATTGATGACACTGAACCTCTTCTTGGTAAATATTATTAATATCTTGAATAAAGGGAACAAACTGAATTTTGGAGATTGACGAGAGTTGATCCCAAAGGATTTCTATTTTAGAAAAAGATATTCAAAGATATTTAGAAAGGATGGAGAATCTATCTACTGTGGAACAAGTTGAAGAAGATACAGATCGTCAAATGTTAACTATTGGTAAAGAAAAAAATATTAAATTTATTGATTAAATATTTTTAATAATTATAATGCTCTATTGCAAAATTCTGTTATGTTTTAGATGATCTCTACAGGTATCAACAGGGCTTAGAGAAACAATTTTATGATGCGTTTCTTCTGTACGCTGATGAAGATGAAAATTTTGCAATAAAAATGATAGAACAGCTTGAAAATAAATTTAATTTGAAGGTAGAAGATATAATACATTTTTTCTTGAAAACTGAGTATTAATATATATACCCTCTTCACAGCTTTGTATAAAAGATCGAGATCTAATGGGAGGAGTAACCTTTGAGCACGAGGCAATCATGCAATTAATATCTGAACGTTGCAATAGATTAATTGTAATCGTATCACCAAACTTCCTCAAAAGTGCTGCAAACAAATTTTTTCTGAATTATGCACAAGCTATAGGCATTGGTAAGTATACATTGTTGAATGGAATTATACTCTAATATGATTTCCATTTTTAAGTGTATGTATATATTCATTTCTAGATAAGAGGCAGCGAAAAGTAATACCTTGTTTATACCAAAAATGTGACATTCCACCGCAATTGAGTTATACATTCATTCTCGACTATAACAGAGTAGGTCTTTTTGATTTTTGGGATAGATTACGAGATTCTGTAAGAATTCCTACAGCAACCAAAAATAAATCGATTAGGTATGTATTAAAATTAATGAATATTTATTTGAATACTCCTGAATTAATGAATCTATAATTAATTATTTGTAGCCATGCAATCCAGATAAATCAATCAGAAATGAAGAAGAGTTTCGAAGATAATTTTTCGACAGAGGTACTATCTCTTGAGGAAAATTGTAATAAAGAGAAGAACATGGTAGAAAGTACAGTAGATGCTTTGCCAGCATATGAGTGCAATGAGACAAGCAAGTGCAATTTTCAAAGCACTTTAAAATATCAATGTGTAATAAAGAGGAAATGCAAAGGTTTGTTTGGAATCAAGAAAAAACAGTACGACAAGAAAGTAGTCCGCACCCCACAAATATGTGAACCACATATAAACGATACGAACAGTAAGAGCTTGCCATCCCTAAATCATTTAAGTTTATCATCGTTGACACTAGCAAGCATTCCTGATAAGAAATGTAAGAAGAACTTTGTAGTCCACTGTAAGCAAAAAGTTCAACGCCTTCTCGCAAAATAGTAATATATTTAATATTGACTAGCTATGTTAAAAAATTAATTTCCAAAACTATTTTTTTGTAATTGTTACTGATATTAATGTATCACAAACAAGAGTCAAAGACATATTTAAAAGTAATGCAGTTTTATTACATGAGAACATGTCACAAATGTAAATACTATAAGAATTGCATGAATACATGTAAATAAGAGTGAATTAGGTAGCATGAATTTACACGAGTTCAGATTTTTCATGAACATAATGCACTATACAATAAAAACTTCAAACTGAAGCAATTAATAAATCTTTCATGCATTACAAATACAAAATTTTATTCAACATTCTTTGATTGGTAATACCCTGATGTCAGATTTCATAAAAATCCCATTGTTCACCAAATAATTCATCTCTACATAAAAATACCTTTACCTAACCTAACTACTTTCATTAGAATCACTAATTTCATACTCACCAAGATTTCCGACACTGATCAGTACTTCGAGTAATCCAAGAAATTAATAAACTAATAATGACCTGTGAATCCCAAGTACAATTCAAAACAACAAAATTTAATCATTGATTAAAGTTACAATACAGGTAGCCATGCAAGGAAACCAATTAACATCACCGCCATTGGCCAAGTTCCCGCCAAATTCTAGCGTCACTCTTCATTTTATCGGTTGCACTGTTTTACTCACGTTCACTTTTCTGTAAATTTTAAACTGCTTATCCTATTAATAACTGAACAAGGTCACAAAATAACTCGAACATAATATTAAAGTTATAGACAAAATTAATGAAAAAAAAGTTTAACAAATTTTACAAGGAAAAATGGTTCGCCGAAAGTCCGAAGCAAGGTATATCATAACTGAACTATTTATCAACAATTTTACTAAACAGTACCGTAACGTTCCAGCAGATCCTTATCTACGAGCAGATCTGACATATCGAACAAACCTGGACCTAGTCAAGGAACTAGTCAGGTATAATTTTCATTGAACATAAATTGATAGACTGTCAGCGTTTGGCGTTTGAACGATATAACGTAACCTTTTCTTTCAGACATCTATACTGGTAAACAGAAATGTCAAAAAACGAAGAACAATGCGCGCATTACAAGAAATCAGATATTTGAGGCGTACCACAAAATTGCTCATACCTAAGCAGCCATTTTCACGTCTTGTCAGAGAAATACTTCATGAAGTATTTCCCAGGTTGGACATTACGCGGTCAGTTTAAAGAGTCATATTTTAACACGTGATCATCTACATAACCTCTAATCCTTAACATAAAATTATGGTATGCTTACCTACAGAATCCAGGCATCTGCGTTAGAGGCTCTCCAAGAAGCGGCAGAAACATATTTGGTGGCATTTTTTGAAGATGCAGTCCTCTGTGCAATACATGCAAAACGCGTTACCTTAAAACCAGTAGATATGGTCCTGGTGCGGCGGTTAAGAGGACGAGACGATGTGATAAACAGATAATAATTATTGATGAATTTCATTTTTGTAAATCTTTAAGTCATTCTGACGTTGGTTGCCTTATGTACCTATCTTAACTGTAACTTATAGGAAAATATTGACAGTTGACTTGCTTTGCGAAATTTGTATTCTAACTTGGTGCCCGTCAAGCAGCCGATTAGCGCTAGAAGGAAACCAGTGTATTTTGTAAGTGTAATTGTAATATAAGAGACGAGTATTAACTTTTGCTAAATAAAATTTATTTAAGAGAAACATTCAAACATCTCAATAAAATTCTTATTTTACTCTGTGAAACTTTGGTAAAATATACACTTTATGGTTCCTTCGACGGATCGTAAAACGTTTGTCAAAGCGTCGCGTCGACGGTGGCGTTTATTACCACCCAGCTTTGTGTAATAGACAAGGACGCAATAACTATGTATGAACGTACGATATTATTAATTGAATAAAATATTGTTAAATAGTAAGATAACGTGGCGTGTGTGTGCCTACGTTAAAATTTTATTCATTATCGTGTTAGCTGCAATAAAAACAACCGTCGTTTACGATTATAATCCGTAACAGAGATGATAAAAATAATGTCAATATCTTATAAAATAACTGCCTAGAAAATAGTAAGTATTACAAATTAAAATACTAGCTAACTACGCAACTTTACTCGCCTATAATACAATTCTCAATTAGGAAATATAAAAGATACCTGGAAAAGCAGGCTATAGCGCGTTTCGCAATTGTCAAATTCGGTAGCAATAATTTACTGCCACCGACATGATAAACGGTACCTACGAAGACACATTATTATCGTTAGGCACAATAATTATACTTTCATTCTGCCAGTTGTTGTATAAGGAAATGATCAAGAAAAATCACTCGTGTAATATTCACTTTGTTTCAGTCTCTCGCCGAATAATCTTAAGGATATAAAAAAAAAAACAAGTATTCGAAGGAAACGGGGAAGAACAACAAAAAATATTCATAAATACATAAAAGATCCTCGAGTGATTACGGCCACATAGGATTTTGAATTTTAAAACGGAGTCGATTCGTTTAAAGTAAAAATTAAATAACAAGTCTTTGTTACTGCATCTCGAGTATACAATATGCACTTGTGGTCTGTGTATATATATATAAATATATACACGTTTATACATGCATATAGTTGCACGATGACGTAGGCGTTACCTACTTCTTTATGAAGGACCGCACCTTGTTCACACACTTGTCCATGAAATTTCGCTTTCTCTTTGGCTCCGCACCAGCGGGCAGAGAAAGTAATGACCCTTGGCCCTTCGTCGAGGGTTTGTACTCGTTCGATGAGAAACTTTCATCGGAATCTAAACCCGCCCCACAGCTTTTAGCTTTGAGCAACGTCGCCTTTTCGCCTCCCGTCATTAGCAGCCTCTCTTGGACGGCCTCTACTTTGGGACCCGAAGTAACCTCAGTAGCGAGGTTAGGAGTCCCTGGATCAGGTTGCCTACTACTATCACCTAGTTCATCGAAATTAGCTGCCGATTCTAAGTCTCCGTCGACGCTTACCGATCTATTTGCTTTTGCAGAACGCGACGCGATAGATAATTCTCTGTCACTGGCCTCCTCCGAAGACGAGGCGATCCTGGTATTCTCCTGATGCGCCATTGTAGCTACCTCGAAAGTAATTTCCGTTTTAGGGTCTGCAACTGTATTCTTCACTTTGTTCCTTGGCGTTGGCATAGGATTCTCCTCCTTCTCACATGTTGGACTTAATTGAAAGTCTTCCTCTTGGACTTCGACACTTTTAGTCTGCTCTTCATTCTCCTTGGAGGGTTCTGGGATTTTGCTAGTGGTATCCACTCCCTCGATCATCTCTAAAGTACCATCCAAACTCCTTGACCGTGGTCTTGCTTTGGAAGAATCAACCTGCGCATCGTTGACGGACTCCTCGTTTTTGAGATCAGTTACAGCGCCGTCATCGTCCAAAAGACCGTCTAGACTCCTGGACCTTGGCCTAGGAAGTGGTTCAGATTCGACTACTGGTAAAACCGTCTCCTTCTCGTCCTGGTCCAGTAACTCTAGAGAACGAGAACGTGTCGAGGGTGATGGTGGATGACGAGGAGGTCTTCTTGGTATCGGACTACCTCCAGGATGAGTGTGAACGAATTTCAGTCGTGGTGAGGTGGGTGGAAGACCCATTAACCAACGGAACGGACTGGATGATTTTCTAAGCCTGTAACGAGAAAAATTTCTTTATTGAATCTAAATCTCATTAGGAAGCCTTATTAACACGATCCAAATACAGGCGTCACAACGTCGACTGCTGAACACAGTGAACGAAAACAACAAATTTCACAAGAACAATATTCATGTTGTTCAGCTAGTGCATGCGTGCTATTAAACACGGAGAGTACAGATAGGTGACGGACAGAGACATAAAAAGAACGAATATAATCATATACTAGACAAAGGATAGATCGACACCAAAGATAGAGAACATGAATGATTATTTTTATGCGCCAGACTAACCTAATGGCGATTGTCATATCGTGATTCCTAATCTTGGCTGTGAGAAAAAGAGAATGAATGCTCCAGTTAGTTGTGCTGTTTTACGGTATGAATTTTTCGTGTCGGACGTATCATTAAGAATTAACTGATTACATGAAGATAAAAAGAAATATTAGTTACCTGCTCGGTATAGCTGTGGGGGGGCCATCTAGTCAATCTCTTCCACTAGTGGAATCTTTATCACTACCTCTACTCTCGTTGCTGTGCATACGTTGATAGCTCGGTGCTTGACGTATGTTGGTACTACCTGGAGTACTTGGTGTCGTCACGTCCTTCGACGCAATACTTCTTGGAATGCCACCCAAGCCTTCCGACCTCATGGGAATCTCACCTCGCATAAACCTGTCAGTAAGATATGAGCATATTTCGTGAGTTCGATCAAATTAGCTTGCATTTCAATAAAAAAAAGTGAAATAATTAAAGATTAATTAAATCTGATAAAATTAGTATACTTCTCTTACCTTTCTAGTTTGTCTACGCAGGCATCTTGATAGTCATGGATCCAGCGTACTCCATTAAAGTGACAGACTGCCCTCATATCTTCAGGTAATTCCTCAGGTTCGGGCCATTGGAAGTTGTCTATTATGGGAATGATGTTACATTGTGACTGTAATGCTGCCACAATTTCCTGTAACATGAATCGAAAAAATAAACAATGAGCAAAATTGAAAGAAAAAATATATTAAGAGTACCGTACAAAATTAATAGACGTGATTCCTTCTTACCCTATGAACCCAGTCTTTGCACTCATTGTCCTGTATACACCTTTCCAGAGCGTTCGGTGTGAGAACAAGAAGGAAATGCTTGGCCTGCCTAATACTCTGTAGCAAATTGTTGTCGAATTTTCCAGCCTCTAGCCTCTCCACGTCAATAAAGACAGAAAAACTTCGAAGTTGTAAATGGACCTTGAGCAGACTGGCTAACTGTGATCCATTGGATCGTCTGTAGCTAACAAAGACGTCCAAGGACTTATCGGACGATTCATTCTCGCAGGAACTAAATTGATTGTGCTGCATATTCTTGATGGAATCGAGTATCCTTAGCCTGTGTATACTGTTGGTGATGGCACACTCGGAAAGTAATTGGTCCTCCGTCAAGTTCCTGATGGAATCCTTATCAACACCAGCATTGAGCATATTGTAGGTGTAGATGGAGAACTCCTGTCCAATAGACTGTAGAAAGCTATTTAAATTTCCAGTGTCCCTACTGCTATAATCAGCCATTTTCTTGAGGTTTTGAAGTTCTCTGGTAAAGCGTCTCCTTCGAATACCGTTAGTCAGTCCGATATCCTCGCGAAGATCTTGCTCAGTGAGTTGTAAAAGAAGGTCTCCGTCGACTCTGCTTTCAACAAAATTAGCTGCGCACTCTGCGAATCCTATTTGTTTAACCCACTCACGAACATCCTCTGTCGACCACAGAGGAACTTGCTGACTGAGTTTATGAGGAATCTCTTCGCCAATCAATCCTAAGGCCTGAGCGGCGTATTTGGAAGCAATGGCGTTTGGACAGCTAGCTACCTTTTTCAGCGGTTCTATTGCACCAATCGCACGAAATATTTCAGTGTTTCCTTGTTGTTTCTTGATGCCAGCTTCCATGCAGAAATGAAAGGCAGCGAGATTCCTAGCCTCTTCTCGTTTCGAGCTGAGAACTGGTACGAGTCTTTCGAGCCAGTTCTTGCTCTGGCCATGAGCGTGGGCGAGATTCGATTTTGCAAACTCGTAAGGATTGTGCGAGGTGACGAAGGGTTCGACGAGGTCAAGGGTGCCGGACTTGAGAACAGCAGCTTCGATCTCCTTGTTGGCCACGAGTACAGCAATAGCCAAACAGGCGTAGTACTTAATATTATCATCGTTGTGAAACGCCAGCGGAAACAACCACATGGGGACCTTCCTCTTGATCATTGCCTCCTGGTTCTCGGCTCCTCCGTAAAGAGACAAATTGGCCAACGCGCCAGCACAGTGCCTCAGCGTTTCCACGTCATTCTTTCTGCACTCAAACAGAACGGCATCCAGACCACCCAGTCTTATTACATCGCTGCACGTACCCTCGCTGTGCTTGAAGAGATGCTCCAGAATCCCGGTACCAACTCGTGCATGATCCACAGAGTTGGCATTTTTTGTACATACACAGGCAACATTTACCACCTTCTCCAGGCCATTCTCCACGACGTGCTCCCTGTTCTCAGTAGTGAGACACTGTTCAAGTAATCTTGCCGAGGAGAACTGTAGTTGGTGATCACTAGCAATGCAGTTGCTTATGAGTAGATCAAGTCCACCCCGTGCCCTGAGAGTATTGCACAGCGTGTATCCCAGCTCATGCCCATGGGTAGGTACAGCCCAAGCTTTTCGTATAATTTCATTGACTCTATCGAGGAGCAAGGGCGCTTTACCATTTTTACCATCATTCGCCTTGAGCCTCTCCACAAAGCTGTCTAAGAATCCAGAGTATTTAGCAATGGCACGCTCGACGTCCTGAGCGTTCGAATTTGAACACAGAAGGTCCAGGTCGTCCAGGGGCAAGGACAGAAGCTCATCCTCGGCTGGCCTGATACCGTTCATCAATTGATTTACGGCACTTGCTGCAGATATCATAGACGCCTTCGACGTGACACCTTTGGAAGCTATCGTGATACTCGATTGCGAACTGGCTGCCATGTGTTTCTCGTGATTGAAGATACCCGCCGACGTGACGGTCTGTCGTTGTTGCTGAGCCGCCATAGCTTTCTAAAAAAAAAAAAAACAACAATAACAGAATCCATCAGTATTACGTCAAGAAATTCAAGGTCTACCAGTTAACAAGCGTTCAATAACCATTCGCGAATCGAGGCTCCACTTGCGCAGCATCCTCGGCCCTCTCGGAATTACGTCGCGGCGACTTCCTACGAAAATTCAAACTGACACTCTGCAATCCGCACGGCAGCGTTTATAATCGTCAGACCCCCCCGTCAACGGGGACACGGATTCCGGGTGGCAAACTTTAATACGCCGAAAGGCCGTGGCCTCCGTGCCAATGTCTGATGCCGCTATAAAGTCAGAATTTACAACGAGAAGTCAAGAGTGAATTCTTGAAGTGCGGCCAAAACCGTTTTCGCGCATCGTGTCACAGCGTATACAAAAATAACACGTTCTATCAGTTTCCATGGCTGGAGTAACATAACAAGTATTTCACTCTCAAGTTATCTCCACGAAGTATATCCGAATATCGTCAAGTTCCTCGTAACAGTCATTAAATACGTTGGCAAGTCAAAGGTAGTATAAACGGTACTCAATAAAACGACGATACTCGACAGTCATCGAGAAAAGCTATTTTGAGCAGTTAACTAGAGGTAAACAATATCTATACCTTTTCCGAACTGAAGGAGTCGCTCTGCAGCTTCATTGTGGACGCTGCCATGTTATTGCTCTCCTGATGAGAAAGATCTCCAGCCTTAAGACTCCGTTGCTCCTGCAAGTACAAAAGGTATGGCAAACGGTTAGACAACGACTGGGGGCTCGATATTTGTTAGACGGTGAAGGGATAATGTATATACCGGGGGGGTCAAAATAGTTTTTAATTATGCCCGGTACGCAAATAGCGTTAATTGTTCGACGAGGACACGAAGATAAAGAATAGACACGGCCAACGCATAAAAATAAACATAGGAACAGCGATAAACACAGGGAGCACTGATAACTCGTAATCGGCAAGAAAACGGAGATGTCCGAATCAATTGTCTACGTGATAGGGAATTCTAAGGTTGCGAATCCTAAAGTTACCGTATTCACTTCGATGGTAACACGGCGAAAATTTTGCGAACCGTTCCGCACCGCATAGCGAGCCATGACGTTCTGACGAATTTTCTACCAGCAAGTCTGCTTCCCAACCTCATGGCTTCTGACGTATCTCGCTAAATATACACCTATAGGGCGACCGCGAATAAACCTGCCATTGATTCTTTATCCATCTTGCTTCTGTTATTCACAGATCGATAACCGTCGGCCGAAACAGCAACATTAACAAAGCCCGCGAGAGAAGAAAGAAACTATATATACATATGTATAATATACATTGTATATATCATACGTCGTGTAGTACGTCAGGGCGCGTACACATAAAAATGTCCCGAATGAATTTTCTCTCGACTTCCGAGTATACACGTACCTACACATGGCTATAGTAGTTTCGAGTGCTTTTACGATTGTCTCTGGTTACCAGCCCACGCGCAATCGCCAAAGTTCATAACAGAGATCCAGACGCTATCGTGGTCTGGAATATTCTATGAACGATGCAGACAATTTTCAAAGCTACCTCAAATCCCACGGAAGTTACAGTGAATGGAGCATACCAATTATTCTAATACAGAGGCGTCCTATGCGTCGAGTGACTTCCGAGTGGCATGTGGATTGGGTTAAGAGCGCGCGAAAAGAACTTCACGTATTACTGAGAGAGACAGAGGAAGGAAGTTCGCAGTGATAATTAACTTATAGACAATTCTTACAAATTTATCATTTGTCGCATCTTGTCCGCCGTCCTTGCGTCAACGCCAGAACGAACACTCGAAAAATATCTGAGGTTAGAAAATAATATCGTCATCGTCCGATATTAGGCGAGTCGCTAAAAAAAAATGTTCTACGCACACCTGGCGCGAGACGTTCGAACGTCTGACAAGTTCGAGCCGGTCGAGCGTCTTCGTGGAAAGTAATATCCCGATAAAAGAGAATGTCTCTATGGGCGCATAGGCCGACGTACGTAAGAGACATCGTACGACTGACTATTAGTTCGAAAGTTAAACACGAGAGGGCAGCCCGATGCAACTTTTATCGGCGGACAATATGCATAGTCGGACTTACCGAATTCTGACGGCCGAATAACTTTCCTCGTAATATATTACGATGTACGGGCCAGGGTGCACTCATGGCTGACAATAATGAAAACACGCACTTTATAAATCCTCGATGGCAGCACACGCGACGATTTGACTGTACGTCAGTTAGAAGCGGGACGTACGGGAACACTGAAAATTAAACGCGGAGAAGGTTTGACGTTTCGTAATAAAAGTTTACGCGCGACGGTGTACGGAAGAGAGAAATAGACGTCCCAATCCATCGAGTAGAAGATCGACGCGATTTAACGTATGTTTTTAAACGTCGACGCGAGGCGTCGTCCTGAACGATATCTGCGAGTATTTCGTGACGCGTAACATCGAGGCTCGATCGGTAATGTTTTTTTTTGCCGTCGCGGCAGCACGTATGATACTAGTGAGTTGAGGAACCCTGAACTCAGAAACGAAGAAGCATAGAAACACACCCCTCCAGGCAAACTGACGGCTGGTTGGACGTTTAATTTTATCGCGACGACCTATAGACGGACGGCAGGGTCCCTCCTACGTAGTGGACGAATGGTCGCGAGCGAGGACGAAGACGACGTCGTCGAGGTATGGAGGAAGGTAGAGCGCTTAGATCGCAGGGAGTGCCAAACAGGGGAGTCGGCCAATAATAACAATGCTTTCTTTTATTTAACACAGCGGCTAACGAGACTGACAAAGTAGCACGTGATACTACTGGGTCCTAATATCCGCAATGTGTTATGCAAAAGTGAGTCAACGTGGGTACTATGAAGTACTATTTTTAGCGGGGTGGTACCAGCGAGGAGAAGAAGACCTTGCGGTGGTGTATCTGGGCGATGACAAAGACCACGAGAGGGCAGCCCGTGGCAGAGGACGGCTGGAGAGATTTCCCGGAAAGGTGCGAGAGACGTGAGAATAGATGGAAAAAGGAAAATAAATGAATGTAAAGAGGGAACGAGTTGAGAGACGTAGGGAAAGAAAAAAGTTTGGGGTGCCTAGACGATTTATGAGTCATTTTCGGTGTGAGTTCCAAAAAAAAAAAAAATTAGGGAAAATTTATAGTCTGGTTCCTTGGTGAATTTAGTGCCGCGATCATTTGCGAGTCGTTCTGTACGAGGGTGACACGATCTTTTTTTTTAAATGTATTTTTCGTGTTCGTCCAAGACGCCAGCCGCTGACGTTATACAACTTTTTTTCTTACTATCTTATGATTTTTCAGGTGAGTCGAGTATTTGTATATTTTTTTTTTCTTTTAGTTAAGTCCGATTATCTTGGCTATCGGTACAAGTTTTCAACCGAGACCTTCAACAGTTCGAGAGGCAAATTGCAATTGGCAAAATTCCCTAAAATCTTCGTGCGTTAATGTCTATTCTCGTTGGAGTCCAAGAGTAAGGTCTGCTCCGTTCAACGAGAGAGTCGAGTTCGGTCGACAGATATCTTGGTGAATTTAAAAAAAAAAAAAAAAAAAAAAAAGCACTGGAAAGGATCAGACTACGAGGATTTACGAATTTTTAGGTTAAGTGGGAAAAAAAATGACGTCTAAAGTCGCGTTTCGCACGTAACTCGTATCTGCCCAATATGAACACCCAAACCTGAGTAAATCGAGTGTACACAAAATTTCAACGTCGTACAGAAAACAGCCTAAGCGTCGCGCAGCACACGAGCTCGTGGATCGATAATCGATAAATCGTAGTTATATCACAAGGCGATAATCGAACGTCGACTTTATGTTACGTGGAGTATTTTGTGCAACTTAATATCCTACCCTCGTTGCCATTATCAGTCAAAAGCCGCAAAGCACAACAAAGAGGTGCAAGGGACTCTGTGCAAAACGTGTACCGACCGTTCCCGTCTTCTCCTCGAGGTTCGCGAGCTCGTCCTGAGATTTCCCCATATTCGTTTCGTTAACACGATATGAAATTTTCGGACGCGCAGTTTTGCGATTTCGCAAAATCGGCAGGAGGCCCCTGGCAAGCCTCGTCCACTGGAGACCCATCGCGAAACTGAAGGTTCGAGTCTTGCGGCCAACCAAGTATACCAGCAAGTTCTCTACTATTGATCCCTCGAAGTTATAACGAACGTACTATACAGGATGGTTCACATCGCGCATGGTACCGAACAATCAATGAGTTCTTTCCGCGACTTGTAAATTGGCTAACGACATTTTCCAATCGATTAAAATCGCAATTTCCAGGTAACGCTGACCATCGAAAAAATTTTTTTCCAAATTCGACAGACCTTTTTTTTCAACTTTCGCAACGGAATAACCGTCTAATTACGAATAAAATAAAAAATTATTTAAAAATAAATTAAGTTGACTTTTCTGTATACAATCACGTCTGGCAACCGAGTCACATGGGTGTGGCAAGTCTGCCTTATGATTTCGTACTGCTTTAACCGAAAGAGACTATAGAAGCAATTTGGAGTCCGAGTAGCCGTCTTGTCTTGTCTGGCGCCAGCAGGATTTATATCCTTATATATATGTTGACCTGAGAATTTTTTCGGAGCAAACGCTGTACACGGATAAAAGAACTCCGTAAAAGAGTTAAATGACCCATCACGCCGAAAGAGTGTATACGAATACGTACTTGAGGTATCTTTGAACTGGAAAACTGATTTTGAAAAATATAAGGCGATTCCGGGACACTCGTGAAAACAACATTCGATTAACTTTCGAGAAGAGCTCGCTACGTGACGCTAACTTAATCAAGCCCTCGAGATTCTTAAAAAGATTTTTCAAGCTCTCGATCAATACACCAAGTGCCTGATAGACACGCGGTTTCTGGAACAGCCCCGTAAAGTAATCGATCGAAGCAGCGTCGTTCCCAACGTTTCTCCACGTGGACGCGTGAGCCTCGAATTCACACTGGTAGGTGCGGTTGTGATTTATCGTCGCAAGATAATAACAGACCATCTATAAATTCATCCACGCGATACCTCATTCAGGAATACCTGAAGCATATCACGCAAAGTAATAAATCCTGAATTATTTTAACGCGGTAGTGTCAGTATAATGAAAAAAAAAAAAAAAAAAAATTTCAAATTTTACCAAAGCGAACTAGGAGAAAAAATCAACTTTGTAAATTCATCCTGAGAGCGAGGCTAAGGGGTTTTGAAAAAGAGAGGATGTAAAAAAAAGTCAACGGGCGGGTCATGCAATTCAGCATTTGGGCCAAGGCTGACACGCTCTTATACTCTGCACAATGTGCCTCTAACGTTCCAATCCTAGTTCACTGTAGTTAGCCAGCTACAGTATCGTAGCTACTAGCAGCCCTACGCAATAAAGGGTCCTTCACAATGAGGATTTATCGTTCCGTGCACGCTTTCCATATCGTTACATAAAGCCAGTGTGGTCACGCGATTCACAGTCCTCGTGGGCGCTCGGGGCTTTTCCTCGCGTTCCGGTAGAACGTTCAGGGCCGACAATCAATGCTCGACGGTCAAAATGGAAGCGTTGGCGCGAATTAGTATTCACGTGGGTAGATAATTTCTTTATCGAAGGAGCCACGAGAATAACATCGGGCGCGGTGAGGATAGTCATAGAAAAGTTTTTCACGTATTGTTCGCTCACCCCGAGAGCCATTCTCGTTGAACGCCGTAGCGTCTGGCAGAAGTTCAAAAATTTCGCTGACTCAAAAACCTATTAGCGAGAACCGTAGGTATTCCTGATAAAACGACCTAACTTTAGAGATACGAGTGACTGAAAATATCCGCGAACATCGTCAAAGACGCAACCCCATCTCTTCTGGGACGTAGTTCGCGTCCCCCGCCGTAATTCACGAGCCTGACACATCTATCCCCGTTTTGCATACAGATTCCGATTGGCTCGTTCGCTCGAATTACAATTCTATCGTAGATTGAGTATATACGGTCCTTTCTAAAGTTGTCGGCACTCGGAGTACGCGGAGTTGGACAAAGTGAAGAAACGAAGATGCCCAAAATGGCTGAGAATACCCGCGAAGTTAACGGAGTCAACAACCTCCTACTTCTTGACTCCTGTGCTCTCTCGCATAGCGGACTTTGTGCCAAAGTATTCCTGCGCCTTCGTACGCCACTGTTAGAGACAGACTAAAGGACAGAAAAAGATATAAAGAGAGAGAGAGCGAGTCAGAGTATGTACAGAGAGCGCAGAAAGTATAAGAGATACTAGAGAACCATATACCATTATAGATATACCATTACAGATACAACAGGGGTCCATTTCTATTATCTTGGACACGATCGACCTCACGAAACGAATATTATATTCTCAGGCAGCGTCTCTGCCGATCACTTCGAAATTTCATCAACTTGGGGTCCAGTGAATATCCTCGTGACTCACCCTTGCCGAGGCGACGCTTTTCTCAGCGGAAACGCCGTCGACTTCGACGCGCGCCCTTGCCGCCGTCGCGGCGCTCTGTTCCTTGTAGGAGACGTCGCCAGCTTGAAGAGCCCTCATCTCGGCGCTGTTGGCCGTGGCTTTCTCCGCGGAGAAGCCATCGGTGACCACCTGAAGGGAAAAAAAAAAAAAAAAAAAAATTAATTATTAATCGTACAAAACATTTCCAACCGCAGCGAGTACACAAATATTCATAAGATACGGTACTACGGTGATTATCCGTCATCCGTACTATCGTCCGCGCCGAACTGTCCCCCCTCGAGATTTTTCCCGCACGTGTGTCAGTGGTGCGACCGCGTGCGCGTTTGGTTATTAATTTATCAAACGAACAGGCAGACAGTGACGAGCGACCTTGTAATTCCTAGATTACAAACAGATACGATAAGGCACGACTGTTACGACGCACTGTGCGGCAAAACTCCACAGAAGCTGCGCGTAGCCGCGAGATTCCTGAGGTTCTCGAGAAAAAAAAAAAAAAAAAAACAGAAAAAAAAGTGACTAGACTCTCGAGCGATAACGAATATGAGAAAGTAACAGCGAAGAATATAAATTAATTAGTACCATTGAAAACTCACCTTGGTCTTGGAAGCACTGGTCATTTTCTTCTGTTCGAACTTCATCGTTTCCGGACCAGCCGGTAAGTTCGTCATGTTCGTCATAGTCGGCATGTTCGTCATGTTCGTCATACTCATCGGTGGGTTCATGTTGTGAAGATTGTTAAGGGAATTGAGAGAGCTCAGCTGAGAGGGCGAGCCAACTGTCAAGGTGACAGTGCCAGTGACAGGTGGCGGTGTATCCGGGTCAGGAAACGTGACCATGGGTTCGGACATGTCGCCTTCCTCGGTTCCACTGGGATCTCTGGAAACGAATCACAATATTCAGAGTCACTGTGCGCGCACTTCGATTTCATTGAAATTCTACGACCCTCGAGCAACCCACCTGTCAACCAAGTTCTCCATGCTGCTGCGCAAATGTTGCGAGAAGTTCGTCGACATGTTCTTCTTCATTTCGCACATGCCGCGCTTCAGTTCATTGAGGCCGCTCTTCACGGAGCTGGCTTTCATCTCACTCAAAGACGAGGACGTGAGGATCCTCTGGGAGGACTTGGCCACCCTGCTCGAACTGCTGGTGCTGCTCGTCTGGCTCTGGTTCGTCAGCATCTGGCCCAAGTCAAGTAAAGTTTCATTCTATTAAAATCCAACGTGACTCATAACTCGTCGTGTGACGCGACGACCGAGTGGACCGTCTCTACCTCTTCTTCCCTCTAACATCCACGACTACCGCCATCATCCTTCCCTGGCCTCTTCCACGTACGTGTCAAGTACACTGATGCCAGAGCGCGAGAAGGATCCCTGGTAGCGCCTCGAAATTTTTTGGTAGGGAGCCAATAATAACAAAGTCTCTTGGATCCAGGTGCAATACCAATAATCGTCCCGGGATACAACGGAAAGGTGAGAACGATTCGTGCAAATATGTGAATATGTTAATGAGAAAGTAAGAGGCCAAGGCGCGACGCCGTTCCAAGGTCTCGGGAGTGTTCAGAAAATTGAAAATAACTGATCAACGAACGTCGGTGTCGGAGTTGAGGAAGTCAAGCGAACTGTTGGAGCTCACGAAAGAATCGGTAGGCGGGAGCTTCGAGACCTTCGATTCGTACGATTGCGTAATGTACCTGGACGGGTTTAAAGGGACTGAAGGTGGCGGCGGGTGAGCCGCTGTTTTCGAAGGTCGCGGCAACGTTCAGGATTAATGGACCGAGGACCGACGGGACGAAGAAGAGGAAGAGACACGCGGAGACGGGAGCATTCGAAATACCACCGATGACAGATACACGGGCGTTCGAGAGAAACAGTGAAGTGGCAACAAAATATTGGGCTTGTTTTTTTTTTCGTTTCTTCATTTTAAAAACAGTTCAGGATAATTTTCGAAAATTCTCGAATCTCGCGAATCGTCCAAGTTGGCGTTTCGGTGGCATTCCACTTTTTTTTTTTTCACGTTAAACAGCAGGATCGTCGGTACTTGAGAAGTATTTTGAAAGTCAACGATTTCCCAAAAAATGTCGTTTCCGCAAATGTCTCTATTATTTTTGGAAATTATCTCACTGAGCCAGTAACGACGAATCGGCTATGACCTGGCGCCTTTATTTTGTACACATGAATAACGGCAGGGTCCCGGCAACGTTTCGAATGGATTTCTTGGGAAAGCTCGACGATTCGACGCGCGGGCGTCGCGACGCCCGTAACTCTTACGACACGTCCACGTTGTCCGGCGCTCACGTAATCCACGTGTGCGTACAACACGCTTAAAATTATCAATCCGCTGAAGACCGGGGGGGTTCGCGGCTTTGACAAATTCGCATAGAGACAAATTTATTAACCGGCGGTCCCGACTCAATTAAACGGGTCATTGCAATTACACCGTACGCAATTAAGCAATTAATCCAGCGATAGTCGTCACGCCTACGTAACGTACGCTACCGTACAAATAAACTAGGCCTGCATTTTGTACGCACAGGTGTGCGAAATTCATATCGACGAACTTAACCAGTGCGAGAACCAAAGAAAAGTCATATCAAAGATCGTACACGCGTGCAAACGATCGTAACGCCGCGTTTCGGAGTGAGCGAAATTTTTTTTTTTTTTTTTTTTTTTAAATTTTTTTATTTTTTCATACACGTACATAATATATATCAGAGCGAAGCATCTTGGTTGCGATTTGAATTTCCTCTTTGAGCACGTGTCTGTTATGGGATATGTTTGTTTTAGGGACCTGGTGACTTGAGGATGATGAGACTGGGCGCCGTGCGCTCTACCGGCCACGAGATTATTTTTCTTCTGAAAATTCTCCATGACCGACTGCATGTCCCCATTCTCGCCCCCCTCCACCGGGAACTCCGACATCTGTAACAAAAGGCAACGATAACAATTAATTAGTCGCTCGTTATCATTTTCACGTTTTGAGCAACACGGTACAAGTTCAATTTTTTTTTTTTTCCTAACAAAATACAAGAACACAACCCAAATGTACAATCTTACACAACACGGAAGCCGAGGTCCAATATTCAAAATCTGCTCAAATACCGATCGATAGACTGTCGTGATTCTGACGTTCGATAATCGATATATCTGCTTTGACAGCTATCGACGTGTCGGCAGCATACACGGTCGTTGATCCGTATTACACAAGAGTCTGGTGCTACCACCTTCGGCAAAGGCGCCTTGATAAACTGGTACACCCACGTTGCTTTAAGCAACCCGGTAAGCAACCGAGCAACTTCGAGCAAGTAAGCGAGCGTACCCAATTACCACAGGGTAACCGGATCTTAATTTTCGTGCTTTGAATTAGTAAGGAATCTAAGCGATAATATATGCATATATACGGTACACGGGCACAGTAATGTACAATCGAGTCAACGTCATTGGCCGTATTAATTACGTCACAGTTCATAAAGACAAAGTGCATCGATGCACTTACACTTGAAGTCTTAGGCGGTAACTGATCAACGGCAAACTCACTGAACTCATCCGTCCCGCTTAGAAGGGGAAAATTGCTCACGTGACATATTTAGCCCAATAATTTAAAATCCATGCAGCTTTTTCAATGCTTGGCGAATTAATAGACACGCGCGTATGCGGCGTTTTAAGCCATTCTCGTACAATACAATTACGATCACGGCAGATGCTAATAGAGTTCGAATAATTCTTAAGGCTTGTTCGCCTATGTTTTTTCGACGGACGGCTCTTACGAAGATTTTTACGAACGCTTAATGGATACGATAACTTTTTATCATTCACATTCACGACCTTGCGACGGGAAAGACCACCGTGTTCGATGGACGGAGTGGCCGTAGTAGATAATCCCTGATTAGTTCTTTTTTTTACACATTCTTTCTCTTTCTGTGCCGCGACGCTCGTTTAGCAGGAATCCAATTCGCTTTTTATTATGCCGGTATCGCTAATGATGAATCGACGGACTTTGCCGTGATCGGAGCAACGCGGTAAATTCATTTAAATGGCATATCTCTGTATGGTGGTAGTCAAATTATTCTAATGTATGCCAAACGTCTGTGTTTCCTGACGTCCGTTAATGGCTGACAGGTCCAGATATTCTTTGCCAGAGTCACCTTGTTTACCTGTTGCGGTGGAAATCCGTGAATTCTTGTAAGCTTATTAAGAGATCTTCAATGACGTCAAATATCCTTATTGAGACACCGTCTTTATGACATGACACAAGATTCTAATGATACTATTGGATATCAATTCTTGTATTTGACATTGGTAAGTGAACACGTGGTATTTTGACATTTTTGGAAACTTTATCTCCTGACAGTTAATTTGGATAAAGACGGAAGGGGGCACGACGATGACCTATTGTACCAACATAAATTATATTTCTATCAATGGTAAGTGTTGTACGCGTTTCTGATGACGGAATTTAAAGAAAACGAAATTTTGTCAATCTTTTATCTTGCTCTGTCATATTAAAAAATATATTGGATCTTTTACGTCGAAAGTGTTCCTCAGTCTCATCTTAGCAGATATGTCCAAAGTGCGATGTTTATCCTTTACACTATTCTATTCGACGTCTCGGATCCATCGTACACAACAATGTCACGTATATATTGCAAGCGCATCACTTTCCTCGCGACCCTCTTGCTGATTCCGCGGCCTAATAACAAAAGCCGTAACGATTGGATTGCATGAGAAAAAAAACTCACTTTAATGCGCATCTATGCTGCGACGTGTGGAACAGCGGGGAGAGTAAAATCTAAAATCCCCGTGACACAGGGATCAGAGAGTTTTACGAAGAATATACATCCGTGGCATAACTCGGAGGTAAAGACAATGCAGGACTGTGAGAGTTTCACACGAAGAATACGCACCACTGCTTCAAAAACACTTGTACGTTAAACAAAACTTCACGTCACAAAGAGATGGGCTTTTACGTTGTCTCTTATTCATTGTAGCGGATGGAAAAGAGAGGATCTCGTACGAAACGAACAGTTTTTACACGACAGTTATACAGGCCCTTTCAACGTAACGAGAAAATACACAGTGTTGGTTTACCGGCGCGAGACAAGGGCCAATGTTTTCCAGACAGTTAGTACGGCTTCGTATAGTTGGCACAAAGGACGCGTTAACCGACCGCGCGTAATTCGTTCGCACGGTAACTACCAGCCCGTGGTTCGTGTCAGACTGGCCGGTTTTCGTTGGCTATGCGATGGGCCCCGTAAGAGAACGTCGCCAGCGCTCTGGCGGCGACCCCAGGAACTAGAATGCTCGACACAAACTTAGAAGCCGGCATTCGCGCACTTCTCTCTCTCACTTGGCATTCCGTATGTGGTTGGTAGCGATCGATTTGTTTTAGCTAATTTATCATATTATAGGCATAATTAAGCAGCACTGCCACATATAAATATATATAAATTCCACGTTTGGTTCACACGCGAGACGTCAATTTTTTTCCAGATCACGAAGGAATAGCGATAAAATTGACGAGGAATAATTACATTATGAAAGTGGAACTGTCATTGACCGCTACTATTAGATGCTTCACGTGTCTTCTGGGCCTTATATAACATCGGACAGCACAAAGGACAAAAAGCGTGACGGTTCCCTTACGTCGCTGTTCTACGAAACGGGCATTTATCTCTGGCCTAGTTATATGAGACTGGTTCAATAAAATTTACTCGTTACGTGTCTCGTCTCGACTGTAATTTCAACGTCGCTCTTAATAAAGCGGGAAATATTTGCACGACCGACAGAATTCTTGTTCTCCGCGAATAAAGTCAATGTACCCGTGGTCTCACCCTCGAAACATTTACGCTGGATTAGTTAGTGGCGTTCGACTATTCGCCAATATGAAGCCCGAAGGCATGTAAAAGGAATTTATTTTTTTCAACATCGTTCCAACGACCTACAGTCAGTAGACAGCTGTACGCTTTGGCTGATTTATATATCAAAGGAATGTCTGGCATTCCTTATCTCCTGTTCGTAGAACGAAAAAAAAAGAGGAATATACCATACACGTACGATGAAGCTGTATATGAAAATTGAAATTTCATTTTTGGAACTCCCATCGCCCTAAACACGTACTCGAATCGCACATTGCACCGACTAACCTTTTTCCTCGGAAAGCTGCGGAATAAACAAAGTCCTAGCCATTCGAAATACAACATGGCAGCGATACCATTTTTTAAACACACGTTCCAAATTCCCTTCAGCAGCAGCGTGTTCCGTTAAATAATTTACGAGGCTCGATGATCGCCCGAAAAACAAACAACGAACTTCATAAAGGAGCGAGACAAAGGTTGGAATGTTGTCTGGCCAGTGTACTCGGCGTGGTTTCACGGCGGAAAGCGAATAAAAGGAAGAAGGAAAAAAGCTACAATGGTTCTGTCGAAGGTAACTTTGGCAATTCCCCTTGGGGTAAAGTATTACTTTACAAAAGGTACTCGGATCATTGTGGCTATCTTTAATAACGTATGTACGTGTAGAATTCAATCCTCTATTAGGTGACTGGACGAGAGATACTTGCCGTGAAGTCTGCGAGGAGGCTTTGAACGTGAAAGGCAGATAATCTAGGTATGCGAAGTAAAGGCCTGCGAAGAGGAGGACCCTTGAGAGTTCAGCGACCCCTGCCAAGAATTCGATCAGAGAAATCTCCAGGGGGTCAAGGTACTATTTGCAATATAATTAATAGTCCGGACGTGACCGACGGAGTCTTTGGCAAATTACAAAAATATTTATTAATCTCTTCTAACCCCACCGATTAAATCCGTCTCTGACTACGTCAGAGGCTCTGCCTGTACTATCTCACCAGACTGCAGTAGGCGTCGCGCTGCAGCCAGACACAAAGAGTCGATCGGACGTCTCGACGTGTCATGCTCGTTTCCGAGGCATTCGCTTCACATCGCACAGGAGATCCCCTTAAGGATTCTAGCCTGAAAATGAGATGCATCTGGATGCTGGATACTGAATGTTAAATAAATCATTTTCACGGAGACACTTTTATTTCCTAGGACGCGTGCTTTTAAATTAACTTAAAAAAAAAAAAAAAAAATTATCGTTATTTTTACACAATTACAGAAACTCCTTAGACCTGACTAAAAATAATAATTATTTCGCGCGATCCCGCACGAATGTGTAAGCACGTTTATAAATACTAACAACCTATGAAATTACCAAGAAAAATAATCGCGATAATTGACTAAGCCATAGAAAAACCGAAAGTTCGATCAATCCTACGATACCTGAGAATCCAAATTTTGAATACCGGAAGTTCCACGATCAAAATAAAGAAATGACTAATGATCGAGCTACGATACGATTTTACGACCGAATCGACGTGATCGTAAAAATCGTTAGTCATTGCTCGAAGCGCCGGATTAACATTGGAGTAAGACTTTAGTCTACGTCATCAAGGTAAAGAGGAATGCGTCTCTCCGCAAAGATGAAAATCCTCCTTTAACCTTTTCAACGGCCACGACCGATCTCAACGAGTCTGTTCCGTGTGTCGAAGTTACGTAAGAGAAGACATACATTCGTAACCAGAAAAGGGCAGTCTCGCAATGATTTTCCTCCCTAAAGCCTCCATCGCGAAAAACGACGATCGTCCTCAAGTTAGCGCACGAAGCTAAATTTCGCATTCCCAGTATCCGGTGATAATGTCGTTAAGTACTTCACAGTACAATAATACCAGCTTCTGCGAGCTTGTTACATAACTCACCGGTACATTACGCGCGGTTCACAAGCGCTAATGGCGCAATACGCAAATAAAGCCTGATTCTCAGAAATTATCCTCACTGTCCAAATCCTCGGATGCTGCTTCACTCGTAAGAGTGACTCTCAACTTGTGTAATTAAAAAAACTTCAAATTTCTACCAAATTTGTTTTTTTCAATTAAAAAACAATTTTTCGTTTAAATTACACGTGACAAAGTCATCGAGTCGCCGCAATGATTTTGACACATAAATTTTCGTTTGCAATGTCAGCCATGACTTTTCCACGTCGACCGATCATGGCGCACCTGCCGACCACGTGCGCCGGACAACGTGGATAATCACGTGTACGCGGATTACGCTGCAACACGATGGAAGTCATCAAAACAATCAACACGATTACTCATATCCACGCTTGGTCACAGCTAGAAAACCTGACCTACTCTATCGCACGATGACGACAGGTTTGATCTCGGCATCGCGCGAGGGGTCGAGATCGAGTGTGTGACACCGAAGCCGACTTTAAACACGATGATGTCATATCTCGTAATGGCCCGTGACGTATGTTACATACTGGTACTCATCTCTTCCGTGCACACATTGAATACTTGCCAGATATTACACTACAGTGGTCACTCTTGCGAATCGCCTTGCACGAAGACCAATGACGTGTACGCTGAATCCGTGACGTCGTCGCTGTGACGTAAGACCAGACGGACAGAGATTCTCAATCGTTGTAAATATATATATATATATATATATATATATATATATATAATACAGTCAATTAAATGCAGTAAATTTTCGTTGACGACAGCGATGATAAAAAAAAATTATCTTAAGACATAAAATGAAGTAAAAATGATCCCTGTCAAGTGACTGACGAAAGTCTGTCGGTAAGGCAGAACGTTGCTGTTTCGTTTCTTCTCGGAGCTATTCGTGGCGCGAACCTTTCAAATTTCGCGGGTCATTTTACCAGGACGTGGTTATGGAGAGTCCACGTGGAGAATTCGTTGGAGAAACCCTGGCCTGCTCACGTAGGTCAATGTCGGGACTAGAGAAATCTTTCACGGATGTGAATCGACTGTTGATCTTGTTAGGTGAGAGGACTTTCTAAAGAATTGCTACGTAAAGTATTTGGAGCTACTGTTATTCTTTTTGTTTGGAACTGTCCAAAATATTTATTGCACCGATCGAGAGTGTAGTTAATTAATGGCAATTGTTTATAACGAGATAAAAATATATAACGATAAAATACAAATTTTATTTTCGACACTTACGGATTTCAAAAATGCTCCTCTCCCTTTGTACATGCTGCTGCGATATGGGTTATTCCCATGCAGATGCAGCATATTCAATCCCCTGTCGACACTCATTCATAAATTTTTTTTTTCAATGTCAAAGTAAAAGATTTCCCAAAAAAAAAAAAACTCCAACGGCACAAGAGTCTCTTGGTTGGTTGCACTTAATAATGGGTTAACCTTCGGACAACACTTCCGTAAGGGATGTAATGCTTGGTTCACTGCATTTAAAAAAAAAAACAAGAAACACCTTGAATAAACGTGAAATTAGTCACAGATACGCAAAAACCAAGTAACGTAACGAAGGAAACTTCGAGATAATTCTGAAACGCGATCTCCGATTATTTACTGGCCATTATTATTTTTTTTTTCACTGTCACTTCGCACAGGGCGACAAAATGACTTTTTCCCAAAACTCGTGTGTACCGTAAAAAAAAAAACTCGAAATACGCAATCGAACGACAAAAACAATTATTACCGAAAGCCTCGTGAATTGTTGGTAAACCTGCGCGCGACAAAGCCAACACGAAACTGCGGTTTCGCCGCGTTATCAGCGATACTTTCAAGGCTGAAAATTGTCTCATAATCATAGATAACAGCCAGTTATCTAGCACCGTTTCAGATAGTGCCGTGGATCTTTAACGTACCGGTACGATCTTATTTTGCGAACACCCGTTATACGATTTTGACATCAGTACCAAATTTTAATACGCGATTGACGGTAGATTTATTCTTGATATAATTAACATACAATACATATATATATATATACCCACGAACACTGTGTTATCGGTATAACAAATTTTCCCACAGCTTTTCAATGAAAAATCTTCAAATTTCCCGGCAATCAATTTTCGATTAATCTCACGATAACGTTGGCTCCTGATAACAGAGACAAAGAAAAATAATAAAATTTCAAAATAAATCCAATGATTATTTGGGCCATTAGGTAATCTATGTACATACCAGTACGTCGTTTTTATCGATACGTCATTCGATAATT